TTGTGGGTCACTCTTATGGGACACTCTTGTCGGACATTCTTGTGGGAAACTCTTGTGAGACACTCTTGTAGGACGCTCTTTTGGGTCACTCTTGTGGGACACTCTTGTGGGATACTCTTGTAGGAAACTCTTGTGGGACACTCTTGTAGGGCACTCTTGTGGGACACTCTTATAGGACACTCTTCTGGGACACTCTTGTGGGACACTCTTGTAGGACAATCTTGTAGGACACTCTTGTGGGTCACTCTTGTAGGAAACTCTTGTGGGAAACTCTTACAGGACAGTCTTGCGTAGGACACTCTTGCGGGACACTCTTGTAGGACACTCGTGTGGGTCACTCTTATGGGACGCTCTTGTCAGACACTCTTGTGCGACACTCTTGTGAGACACACTTGTAGGACACTCTTGTCGGTCACTTGCCGGACACTCTTGTGGGACACTCTTGCGGGACACTCTTGTAGGACACTCTTGTAGGATATTCTTGTAGGGCACTGTTGTGGGACACTGTTATAGGACACTCTTGTGGGACACTCTTGTAGGGCACTCTTGTGGGACACTCTTATGGGACACTCTTGTGGGACACTCTTGTGGGACACTCTTGTAGGACAATCTTGTGGGTCACTCTTGTAGGAAACTCTTGTGGGTCACTCTTATGGGACGCTCTTGTCGGACACTCTTGTGGGACACTCTTGTGAGACACACTTGTAGGCCACCCTTGTGGGACTCTCATACGGGACACTCTTGTGGGACACTCTTGTGGAACACTCTTGTAGGAAACTCTTGTGGGATACTCTTGTAGGACACTCTTAAGCAACACTCTTGTCAGACACTCTGGTGGGACACTGTTGCGGGACGCTCTTGTGGGACACTCTTGTGGGACACTCTTGTGGGACACTCTTGTAGGACACTCTTGTGGGACACTCTTGTAGGACACTCTTGTGGGACACTCTTGTGGGACACTCTTATAGGACACTCTTGTGGGACACTATTAACGGACACTTTTGTGAGACACTCTTGTGGGACACTTCTTGCGGGACGCTCTTGTGGGACACTCATACGGGACACTCTTGTGGACAGTCTTGTAGGACACACGCTTCGAGCTTGCAAGACGAGCGTTTCGTACGAGACTTCTTCCAAAAGCACACGTCAAGTCTCCAAAACGAGCGTTTCGTACGAGACTCCCTCAAAAACTCACATGTCAAAGTCTGCAAAACAAGCGTTTCGTACGAGACTTCCTCCAAAAGTCAAGCGGAATCACCCATCGGAGCACACACATCACGCAGCCCTGCCAAGCAGTTTCGCGATTCCAGCCCCTCCAAACAACGCCCGCTCACATGCCAATCCCAGTGTGACAGCGACGTTCACCTCTATCACAGCTCACAACCTCACGATTCCCTGGGCCTGCCACGAATCTTTCCGTGTCCACGCGCACAAAGTACTGCTCCTGCCACGAAACGTCGCCTCCGTCACACCTCGCAACCTCACGACTCCCTGCGCCTGCCACGAAAATCGCACTTCCATACCTCAAAACCCGCACAAAGCACTGCGCCTGCCACGAAAACTGACAATATCATCTCATGTGAGCTTCAACAAAATTTACACCACACCACACGTTTGGAATGATTTCGACCCGTTCTGAGCACACCCCCATCCACCAAAATCGCCATTTCAGCTGAGACCTGCACTCTGAAATGCAAATCCCAATGGCACGGCCACATCCAACACCCCAAAAACACGACTCTCCACACGCTAATCCCAATGGAACTGCGCAGCAAACTGCGGATCTCACAAAACGCTGCGCCTGCGCAGTGAAATCATCCTCCACACTCCACACTTCAACATCTTACATTTCCACACGATCCCTCGCTACTTCACACGAATCTGACACATCACGTTTTCATCCAAAACCTACTCCAAAAGCTTCCCCCAATGGCAGCGCCTTAGCGCTCTACTGCGAACGGTTGCGGACGGTTGCGAACATAGAAACAACGGGTCGCGAACAAGGCTCTACCCCCAGACCCCCAGAGTTAAACGAGAACCCTTCGCTACGCATTCGGGAAAATATTGAAATGTTCACCGTTTGACACCCGCAAACCTTGGCAATGCCCCTGATTCCTGCTGAATTGAGCTGGGATCAAGCATCAAGTATTTAAAACGCGGTGAATTGAAAAATCTTTGGGTGATCCGCCAGGTTGTATCGTTATTACATTGAAAAGTGTGTCTGCACTCATGTTTTATTGCAATTCTATCAGCCTACGCCAGTCCTTAATGCAGAATGTATTCCATGCTGAGCCATGGCCTCGTACTACTGGCTACTACCGCCACCTGTACCATCGCCACGATCCCTTTCGTCCCGCCAAGCACTCGATTGGTTTATGAGAAATGATATTACTAATTCTTGCTGACTTATGTTCCAGCAGGCTTCAGCCTATGTTAGGACATGTTGTTAAGACATGTTGAGACAATGTTTGGCGGAGAATGGTTGATCAAGTGCAGCTGCTCGAAACCACCTACCCTCACAGGCTTGATGGCCGAGGTCAGAGGAGATTTGGCGATTGCAGGTTGGTGCCCAGTGCAGGTCCTCAGCTCAGCGTGATGTTTTGCCCTAGTGGGTTAGTAATTAGCGAAGATTGAAATTTCAAGGGAGCTTCCACAGAAGAGTTTCTTTGAGCAGGGAGCTCACTTTTTTCCAGTGAGCTGAATGTACATCTCTTCAGGTGGAATCCACTTTGTCCTGCTCATGTTGAGACGTGGAGAACTCGCATTCCGCATCTTCAGAGGCCTTCCGAGGCGAAGACATGAATGGATTCTTCACGGCTCAAAGCCGGCAAGACTACGATTTCAATAAAGAAAGAAGAAGCGGGTGCCGTCCCTGCACATGCTACATTTGCTTGGTGTGAGGGAGAATTCCAGGGTCAACAACCAGCAACATCAAGCAGAGATACATAGATCGTTTCCGGATCTATATTGATCATAGATTAATCATCCACGATCCATGAACCAAGTTGTGCACAGATTCCCCGGATTCCCCCCCTGATTTTTGAAGCTGAAGGCCTGTGGTGCCTTGCCAGGACTTCCCCCTCAAGGCATTCCAGAGCCTTGGCAATTCAAAAAGCTCCCTTCGCTGAGCACTAGAGTTAATGGATAAGTACAGTATTTGGAAATCCTGCAGATCGAAAGTCTCCTCAAGTTGTGCTACAAGAGGAGTAGCTTTTGCACTTCAAGATCCTCAGGTTGATTCCCGCTATTGGTGGATCCCTCCCTGCACAAGTTTCTCCTCCTTGACCAACGGAGCATGGTGTTCGCGCCTGACTACCCCAATTGATCGAATCCAAAGGTGAGGAAATGGTGTGAGTGTGAACAATTGAATTGAACACCTCCCAGTTTGATTGCATGAAGCAGGGTCACAGACTGTAGGTTATGACACTGCATCACCTGGAAGACTTAATGAAGACGACTTGTGCGCATGCTTGCTGGACGAGGTGCGGGACTCACTCCCATGGCGTACCACGGCATACTGTACTGTGCTGTATTTATTTAGATGCAATTGCAAAAAGGATGGTAGCTGTTCTTGTTCATTTTTCATGGGATGCGGCATATGTCATTCTTGGTGAGTGTTGTGTTCTCAAAATCAGAAGTTTGATACGTTCTTTGGCTTGGAGCTACGCAAAACGACACAGGACTGTTTGTGCGGAAGTAAACGTTGCGGCATTTCGTGGAATTTATTTTGCCTGCATTTCAATACAGCGAACTTTGATCGAGCCACATTTGCCAGACGAGCAAGTACAGGTGACCCGTGTGAGCAAATGCAGGAGACCATGGAGTCCTTTGGAAATTGGGCCCTCACAATTCAAGGCTGCAGCAACCTGGCAGAGCTGACAGAGCATGAGGTTTGTTTGAATCTGTTTCCTCGTGTTAAATCAACAAAGCCCTTTTTGTTTCAGACTTTGAGCACAGGAAACCCCAGCTTGTTGTGGCGCTTGCAACGTTTAATGTCATGACGTATACGTAAGGTCCCACAGCAGCAAGCAAGATACAGCCTTCAGGACAGCGGGCTTTGCAAGGTGTCACCCAGCATTTACTGTCGTTCAGCCGCTCATATTTGTCGGCCTATCATCTACTCTTCAGACGAAAGACAAAGGGTGATATATACTGGTAGGACATGCAGATTTGTTCACTTCCAGTTGTAGTACGGCCCTTGCGAGGTATGCTCTTGCGCATCTAGGCATTCAATGGATTTGAGGAATGTGTTTGGCAAGCTAGATCCAGGATTGACTACTATGCATTTGGGTGGCATGAAAGGTGTGCCACATCCTTACTGCCAAATATATTCAAAAGCGTGTTTTGATTGCAGAATACAGAGTGGATCGCAACATTTTGCAAGTTGACATGATACTGGCAAAAAGCAACTGTTGTGCTGGTAAAGCCGTTGCAATTGCGTTGTTTCCAAGTCTTCAAGTCAGAGAGCTTTGAGGTTGCTGTCATGATACTCTTACTGAGGCCACTGTCATTCCTTCCACCAGACCAGCCACCAATTTTAAATTGAGAGGTTTCTATGGGTGGTCTATTGAGAAGCCAATTCCAGAGACTAGATCGAAGGATGTGCAAGTCGTTCTGTGAAAGCGCATATATGATACATGAGCATGGGAGTTTATCGGGCACCTCAGCCATGTGTCTTGGCCAAGGTTTCTTTTCCATGGATCTGACTCCCGGGAAACTTGCGTGCGGTCTATCAGGGAGTACTTCCCACTCTGCCAAAGGGATGGCACGTTGGAGCTGTGACCACCCTCGCGAAACGCAAGACAAGACCTGGCTAGATGGCGGAGTTGATGTCCTTGGTCAAGCAAGACGGGGTACGCGGACTGAACAAATAGAGTGTGCGCGCGTGCGAAGCTGTAGACTGTATATTTGGTTTGTCTGAAGGGTTCATTCTTTCTCTAGAAACTATGAATCCATCAGACTGTCCAGCGTGTCCGGCAATCTTGTAGGCAGCTCCGCACAGCGACATGGAAGCAGCCAAGTCCAAGGACTGATGTACGACAACCCAGGAAAGCCTGATGCCACTGATAACTTGGGTATATAACCAGAACGATTAAAAGTATTGTGTATAATCTCACAGATATACAAAAAGATGCAAAGAGATCACTGTGTGCAAAAAATAATACCAGCATAGACACCAAACAGTTTCAAAATGATTTGTTTGGACCAATGTTAGTCAAAAACGATTTCTTGGTATGCCTTACCTTTCCCCGCAACAGCAAACTGCTTCATCAATGATGTTGTCGGCATCGACATCGCTATTTGTTCGGCCACACTCCTCTCCAGCTGTTGACCATATTCATGGAAAAATTGACAATGTCCAATGCGCCCCATCTATCGACATATAACGTCACTCAGCACTCTAAACCATCGGCCACAGAGTTCAGGGGTGCGGCCAGTCCCGGTCACAGAGTTCAGGGGTGCGGCCAGTCAGTGCGGCCAGGGCTGGTCAGCGCGGCCAGACGACAACAGCAGGACAAGAGAAGGACAAGAGGAGGACAATAGCAGGGGAAATATCAGGGCGTTGCTTTGCTGGAAGATCTGAGACTCACTGGCACAGTCCTTCTTCCCTAAAAAGGCGCATCAAGTCTCATCAAGTGTGTTTGCAAAATATTCTGGGTCATGCGGGAGCACAAAGAAGGAAGCAACAAAGAAAGAGAAAAGTGAAAGAGAAAGAGGGACGAAAACAATGCCTCGACAGGAAGAGATGAGTGTGGACTTCAACTTCTTCAGCCAGCTCCCGACCCCTGTGCAACCGGCCTTGCGGGTGCCTGGGCAAAGCCCAGGAAGAGGTGTCAGTAAGTGGGGCAAGTCTCCGGTCAAGTCCGTTTTTAAGGTAGATAATAATTCATGCAGATACAACAGTTTGCTGAATCCTGTGTTGCAAAATCACTTTAAGATGCGATGTTCCAGCAGGAAGTAGAATCTCCCTGATTTGCGATATCAGAAGGAGGAAGGAGTCCATTCTACCGGGTTCCCGGTAGGTCAAGTTTTGTGGTTCAGCATGTTTGGATCTGTAAAACACTCACTTAATTTGCTATGTGGTGGCTTTGATTTTTGCCCGTTGGTGTTGATGCCCGCCTGACCTCACGCTGCAGACGTCCGCCATGGTTCTGGGCATTTTTGATGGTCATGAGGCAGGCGTGGTGGCCGTGGAGGCCAGGGTTGAGAGTTTGGCACCGAAATGTAGCATGGATGGACGTGACATTATGTGATTATGTTGCGTTGTTCGAACAAGGCAGAACCATGTCCACTTTTCTTGGCAAGTTGGCAAGTGCTGAGAATCCAAAGTCTTGTTTCAACGTTTCATTGTCAATAGGTATGTGCTTCCAGCATGGGCAATTCGGGGACCGCGTTCTCTCAGGCAGGAGAAAGCACAAAAAGAAGACGGATGATAAAAGAATTGTGCGTGAAAAACACGAGGACACCATTCAGTGTTGTTTGGGGATTCGATGTAAAAACTTCCACAAAAACAATTTTGAAAGCCTGAATCAAAGCTTTGAAGTGAAATGCAAGCATCATTGCCAATCCAGAATGCTTGCAGGTAGAGGCCGATGGAACTTTCTGCATTTTTGTAGCAGCAAAGGCTACCTTTGAGCTGTGGTTCACAGTAGCAGCCCAAACCTCAGCAAGTTCACACATACAAATGGATTTTTCTATGCCTGACAAAGTTCAGTGCAGTTTTTGCAAGGACACCGTCTCTTCGCCACTTCGATTTGGCTATCTCCCCAGATGATTTGTTGGACTTTGCCGGGATTTGGCAAATCTGCACGGTTTTTTCATGTTTTTTTTCATTATCATATGTCATATGATCAAGAATAGAGTGTGCTTGGCTTGGCAGTGATGGTTGCATGGCGTCATGACGCATGCTTGAGTTTGAGGGTATTTTGTCCTGCTTTTTTGACAACTGCTTGGCCACCAACGCCCTGCTGAAGGATCCTCCTGAAGGACCTGGAACACTTTCATGCAAGTCACAATACAGTGGACAACTCCAAATGGCTTTGAAGCATTCCAGACAGGCTTCTCCACAGAACTGTGGGGAGTGAGCGGTCGTTCGTCTGAGGCCCTTTTTTGGCGCGTAGCTGCGACGAGGTTTCGCAGTGAAATTGCCCGTTGATTGTGGACTAAAATCATCATCCAAGTACGAAGTTGTCAACCGAATTCCGCTTTCGGTCCGTTTCAATGTCATAAATCAGAGAAGCCATGAGAAGGACCAAGAAGTGTTTGCCAGGTCACACACTTGGGTACCTTGCGCGCAAGCTACTCCACAAAGCCGGGTGAGTGGCGAAAACCTGCCAGGAGCTTGGGAGTAGATCTTCCAACAGTCTTCCATCACGGGAATGACAGTCTCGCCTAAGCAAAGATACAGCCTTCCTGTCCAGGCTCTCACAGCCCTGGCTAGGAACTTTGTCCTTTGACAGAAACCTCGGTCAGTGAATATCCTCTTGGTCTTCACTCGCTGAAAAACGGGTTTCCATTTCGATCATAGGCAACCATAGACAACCTGCACAGAGCGATCCAGACCTCGCTTCACTGATCAACTGCAAGGGGTCAAGTTTATCATGTTGAGAAAGGAAAGATCGAAATTTCGACGTCCAAATTTCCTGTAGGACTGTATACAGATCTATATAACTAGAAGCTACTAGGTGGAGGCCATCGCTACTAGTAACAATAAAGCTTTCTAGTAACAATGAACTTTCTTAAAATCAAACATGGAGGAAAACCGTGACAAGCCTGTTTTGAGGTTGCGCCCGCTGGGGCATTCATCATGTCTCTTTGTCCTGTTTGCTTCAGCTTGCGGGACGTTCCGAAGTTCTTGCGTCGTGATGTGTTCATTTTGAGGGTTTTGAGCAAGAAGGAGAATAAGTCTGTAAGGGAGCCCTGATGTCCTTGATTATAGTACTGTACACAATAGCAGGAAAGAAAAGTGCTGAATATGATCATTGCAGATTGGCTTGACGATACACATGTGGTTATGAGGTCTTGGCATAGTTTGAGCCACAGTATGCTGTTGATAGGCTTCCTCGCGTGGAGATCGGGGGCACGACCCATGAAAGATGTAGCTGCAACGTGGTAGTCTCAGAAAATGCATAAAGCCTCCCCACAAGCGCAAGGCTGGAGTTTCATGGGGGGAGCAAAGGGAAAGTCGTTCAGGAAAGCAAACATGCAAGATATTGTACCCATAGTCGTCAAGGCTGTTTGTGGATGTGTAGCAAAGCTCTTGGGTGTTTCAGCATGTAAAAAAAGAAATCGTGAAAACGACCTGGAAGCTCCTGAGGCGCAAGCCTTCCTTGAGGCTGGTGCCATAGGAGAAACATGCAAGTGTCTCCTGCACACATCAAGTAGAAATCACTTGCCATAGCCTGAACTTCTGCCATAGAACGTCAAGGTTTTTCAATTTGAATATGGGTTGTGGGTAGTGCTGTGGAAGGGCTTAGGGGGCAACACAGAGTACAGGTTTGTCAAACGGTCAGAGACATGATGTAGCTTGTACCACGTGGTGGGGTGTGTGGTGTACATTGGTGTGCCTTTGCATGATGCGGCATGGGTTGGCAGGCTTGAGCTCTCAGATAATCTCAGACACCTTTTTGATCTTTTAGCTGGCTTTGTGCGTGCAGGGTACTGAAACCAGCACGGACGAGCTCAGCAAGGCAAGTTCTTCGAATTGCATCAGGAATCATCAGGATGGATGACATGAAGTGGATTGTTTTTGTATTGCTTTAGTTCAGGTCAAGTTTGTTCCGCGTGTGATTAGTGAGATTGACGTGGATCAAACTGGTAAGTGAGAAAGAGCCAAACGAACTTGCCGCATTTTGACATTTGTGCAGGAATTGTCAAAAGGAGAGCTGTCAAAGGAGCTCTCACGGCAAGAGGTAAGCACAGAGACCTGAGTGTCTTGGAGGTTAAGGACAGCCTCTGACGTGGTTTGGGCCCGTGTGTCCATTTCAGATTGAATGTTTTGTTGCTCTTGCTACTTGTACAGAAAGTCTTCGAATTAAATAACCGATGTGTCCAAGCCAACCTGTGTTTGTTCCTGTGAGGAAAGCAAGAAAGCGATGATCTGTCGACTGCAGATTCCATAATCATATGATCCCATTATTGTTTGCAAAAAGAGAACACAACATGCAATCACACGAAACTATGGTTGTGCTTTTGTGAGCTAGTTTTTTCTGCCCAAGAAGGGTAGATTCTAGGTCGATCCGTGTTGAGTGATGCCAAGTAGGGAAGTATATAATGTATATAGACCTTGTCAGTTCATTTGAAGTACTGTGACTAAGTCTACTAAGTGTTCGCAACAAGCCACTTCCACTCTTGGCATCGCTCACGGGCGAAAATCCCTACTACTCGCTGAGGAGTTCATACTCAACTCGAAACGAGTGGAAAAAGAATACTCGGACAACTACTCAGACCATCCAATGCTTCGATGGCTCGAGAATCGACTTGAAAATACGATGGCTTCGATGGAGGGCCCGAAGACTGGCCAGATGGAGGACTGTGCACCACTTGTCGATTCTACCAATAGTGATGGGTTGAGAGAGAATAAAGCTATAGATTGGTCTTGGACCCCGAGACTCAGTATCGCAAGTCTGCTCAAGCACATTCAAGCACAATGTTTGACAAGATATGCTTTGATTCCCTGGATGTCATTTTGTTGATAGATTGACACTGAATGCAGGTTGTTCCAGGTTTCCATGATTGATGCGTAGCTGCGCAGTCTCAATGAAAAGAACATGCAGTCAACAACCCACTTGGTCCTCCATGAGTTTTTGTTTGCTACAGGTCCTTTAGCGAAAGAGGGAGAGAGGAAGCCATCAGAACGGGAAGACTGTGGCGCTAGCCAAACACCAACTCCCTGGTAAGCAGCCTTGTCAATCTCAGTTCGAGCAGTGCCAGATTCATGAAATTCATGAAGTACATGTCACACATCTACTGTCTCACCCAATGCAATGAACCCTCCTGGTGTAAGCTGACACCAAGAGTTGCTGGGTACAGAGCTCTTCCAGGTGCCAAGTGCCACAGGGGTCCCTTGGGACTACAGTGCAGCTTCTCCTACTGTCTAGGCTTAGCAATGCCTTGCAAGATTACCAACCCGTTTCGAAGGCACCAACGTGGCATTGGCATGCAATCATATGCTTAGCATTGCTTAGCAGCAATGTTCTTATGAATCCTATGAATGCATGGTTGTATAAGTGACTGGTGTGGTCAGAATAAAATTCTGATGGATGCTGAGTAGATTCCGTTTTTCAGATGCTGCAGGCGGTGATGGTGGAAGTCGTACAGGCAGGCTTCTAGAGTTGGTATGGACATGATGCGCTCCCTGTTGCGACTTGTTGCTGTTTCAACACTTCGAGGTAGCCCAATTGCTTTTGATCATCTCCTCAGAAGTTATTTTGTCAGGATTTAAACTAAGCCGAGATGCCTTGTGTTATATGTTGATCTTCTCAAGCAAACAATGGAATCCTCCAGGATTTGTTGGACTATGTCACCTATGCCGGTGGTGTGGGAAGACGAAGGGCTGATGCCGTCATTGGTCTTGGCATGCCTGCCATGTTCCTCACCAATCGGCCCTGAAGTTGGTATATCATGAAATGAAAAGCTGGCTTAGTATTGAAGCCCTTTGGCATCCTTTGAAATTTGGCATTCATGATGACTCCACTCCCGCCATCTCGCTATTGGCTTTCAGAAAACTCCCAGAATCATGGGCCATTCGAAGATTTTGCAGCACCATGTAGCACCGCCACTTGGTCAAAGTGACTAAAACAGAGTGAATTAAAGAAAAAACCAAGCCTGCACATGTACAACATTGGCAGTCGCAAGAAAGCACAGATCTCAATGGCGGCTGTTCATAAGCGTTGTTTGCTGGCTTTGGTGAAGCTTGCACTGTGAGTACTGAAGAGTGACGGGACAGTCGTACATACAACGATGTCGAAGCGACCAAGTGTTGAAGGTGAGCTTGACCTATGCCAATGCCTGTTGATGTGTGTTGACTTTCTGTTAGAGCAAACAATGCTTGACATGTAGTGTGCAGCTGCAAGCAATGCTGAAGCTTGCTACCAAAGCGAATGTATGCTACTTCACTATACTCATTTGATTGATGTTTGTCAGGAAAGGCCACCCTGGCAATGAGCACATCTCCATCGATTCAGGAATCAGACACGATCGAGGCAAACTACTTGCAGGAGACGTGCTTACCTGATCCATATACAAGAGCTACTGTTGAAGTTGCCAAACAAGTCAGGATTCCTTTGAGATACCCACCTTGCATGCAGGAGATCGCTTTGCTGCGCTGGAGACTAAGTGCTTTGGAAGTCCTTGCCCGAATCAACAATAAGCCGAAACTAGCCTTTGTGGAGGTATGCTCAGCATGCTACATTGAAGTATATTTTTCACAAGATTTACCAGGGTCTTACAACCTGTTGGGGTCAAGAGAATAGGTAGTCGCTGAAGTCGAATGCGCAAAGCTCGAAGTTGGTGGAGTCATTGAGGCTCCAAGCTGGAGAAGGTGCAATGACTTTTGTGAAACTGTTGACATCTTTTTGCACGCAAGAAGACACTTGACACTGGGAGTACAATCGCTGAATCAATCAGTTCCCGGACTGCATCACCGCCACCTCTACCAGCGATGTGTGGCTGTTGGTGTCCATGCCCGGCTTTCAGACACCGTGAAGGCTCGCTCCTCGGCCCGAACCTGGGCAGCTGTGGGGAGCTCAATGATGTGAACAGTCAAGGAGTGTCACTGTGCAGATCAGATGCAAAAGTTCCTGAATCCTCAGAAATGACTTATTGCCTGGTAGCAGCCAAGTATGTTTTTGCGACCAAGGCCAGTTTCATGGGTGGCTTTTTAGTTTGTTGGCAGCAGACCCGGTTTTGCAGTCACGGTTTCTGCTCCAGACTTTAACCAACCTACTTGGCAAAGCATCAGCCAGCTTCAAAGGTCGAAATTGTGTCCCGATGGCTCTGTTTGCCTTCATTGCTCTTGTTACTACTAGTAAGGCACCTGTTACTAGTAGCGTGGCACTTGCTACTACTAGCGAACCTTGTTACTACTAGTAAGGCACTTGTTGCTAGAAGCGATGCACTTGTTCCTAGTAGCTTCCTCACGCTCCCAAAAGCGCAGCTTGACTCAGGTTGCTCTTGTCAATGTGTTCCCGCCCAGCTGCTAGTTGAGCGCGCTCGGGAAAAAGTTGGCAGAAGAACTCCATTGGCATGTTCAATGCCAGCATGAAATTGACAGCAGGTACAGTATTTGCCTTGTTGTCCAAGGCAGGTCCAGGTACAAAGTTCTTTTCCAACGAGGAAATGACCACTTGGACCACTTGGATCTTTGGCAGCTCTGGTTTCATGTATATAAAAGTTAAACCATTAAAATGCACTAGCGGACGTGGGACCACTATAGACACGCTGTACGTCAACGCTTCCGCTTGACTGCATGCTCCAGATGTTGCCGCCAGGCTCTGGGACTGTAAAACCTGGTGCCCATGACTGTGCCACTTGCACAGATTCATTGAGTATGCTGGCCAATTGGCTTTCAGCTGTGTAGATCATCACAGTGTGATGAACAGCTGTGCTCCCAAGGGCTGTTTCCGTCATTTGTGTCTATTCCATACAAATCTGCCAACGATATGAAACGAAGCTGTCAGCTGTAAGACCAAGAAGTTTTGCTGTGAGTCATCTCCGAGGCGCTAGTGGCCAAGGTGGGAAAGCTTTGGCCATACTGAGCACGACCTTAGTGTAATTGGTTTGTTTGCGGCAAAATACGTGCATCGGGAGGCTGCACAGACTGAATCAGTTTTTGCTTTGAAAGTCTTCGTTGAGCTGCGTCCTAGTGTTGGACCCAACACTTTGCAGGATCGAACTGATCATGCACCTCAAATGGTACCTTTGAGGGACTGCCAGTGTTGGTTTTTGATAGTTCCAGCGCTTTGAAGTCGTGAAGATTGATTGATTGTTCAGGGGACCTCAGCCCCCGGCTCATCTTTGTTCAAGACTGCCAAGAATGATAGCAAGTCGATGGAACATCTGAGGGATTCAGAAAAATGCAGACAGTCATCCCCTATGCTTCCGCTTGTTTGATGCAGGACCTAGTCTTCGACGAGGTGCTTGACAAGCAGTTCGATGATAAGGTCTGCAACCAGATTTGAGAGATTGAGGGAAGTGAGGTGATGACATCACGTGAAGAAAGAATTTGACCTGTTCGAATCAATTTGAGCAGAAGCACTTTTCGGTTTTGCTTCAGACTTCCGATAAATAGTTTCGATTTGCACGATCGACGGAGGTTTACGGTCTTCAAATGCTAGAGCTTTCATACCGCGGAGAGCGCCTGATGAATGAATTGGTCTGGCCCTTTGTCCTCAGCATTGAACTCCTGTTTGCCCAAAGATTTGGAATTTGTTGTTGGGAACTCAAAACCACCCAGCAAACAAACATGCAGGAGAAGAATTATCAAAGTGTTTACAGCGTGAGGGATGCTCCAGCTTTGCCGAAACCATGTTTGCAGTTGAGCTCTTGTGATCCCAGAAAATGGCCTGTCGAAAGGCTCAGAAGTTCCACCAGGCACTGTGTTCGGGTTTGAGTTGCTCAAAACCAAGCCTTGCTCTTGACAGCTGCATTCAGCTTTTGTGGCTCTACGGCTTTGGGGGATCAAAATGAAGTGATGCATGAGCCTTTGAAAGATGCCATTGTGGATCACATGCTTGGTGGAACCAAATGTTCTTCACACTGTGGAAGGTCAACCGCTTGGTGGAACACGACCCTTTGTGGAGGAGCAAGTTGGTACCCCAAGCACTGTAGTGTGCTGAATGTCGTTGACTGTGGAGCATTGCAGTTGTGAGGGAAGTTCAAAGAGTTTCATCTTGGCGAGAGTTGTTGATTAGATGCATTGCTTGAATGCGCACATACACACACACACCTCAATTTTGTGACTGCACTGCTCTTCCAAAGAAGTTAAGTTTTCTAGTCACGAGATTAGCCTTGTTCAAAACTAGTTCTCATTATTAGGCTTCAAGAGACACTGCGTTTGGAACGCCCTGGAAGATATTCAGCAAGAGTCATTTTGGTCAAAGCAGATCATTTGTGCCTGAGCTCGTCACTTCCTCTTTGCAACAAGGCACCTGCCAAGCCTTTTGCAGAAAATGTGCGAAGGTCTTAGACACGCCGGATGCTCAAGAATGGCAACTTGACACATGTTACATGTTTGATTTGAAAAAACTTGGTTATATAGACAATTGAAACCTTCGCTGCTTCAGGTGCAACTTTTGATCTCCAAAGAACTGCAGGAGGTCCGGGATTTACAGTAGATAGGATCATGGCACAAAACCCATGCATGTCGGATGAGGTTCACATACGTTGATGTGAAATCAGTTCATCTTCAATGTATGTTTTGGAGCAAACTGAATAGACAGAGCGTTGACACCCACAAACAAATCGTACCGTGCCCATTGGACATTGTACTGGTTTCTGCTTATGTTCAAAATGATTGTCAGCACTCAATGTGGTTCTTGCAAAAGAAGGCTGGGTAAGTCACAGACATGTTTTGCGAGAAGCAAACTGTCAAGTATCCGATCCACGCATTTGTTTGCTTGAAGTGAATTGTGGTTGTACAGTTGCATGCAACTGCCCCTGCAGGTTTGGAAAATTGCGCGCGACACCTAAAGGGTTGCTCTTCTTCACAAAACTCAGCGCCCGAGTTGTTTGACCGTATTCAACGCGTGGTCATAGGAAGGTTTGTTGGAGCAGACAGCAGAAGTTGGTCTTATATTTCATGATTTCATGCATCCCGATAGGCAGAGAATATTGAAACCCCGAGACTTTTGGAGCTGTTGTCCTTCTTCAAAAGCCGCTCTTGGCCCGAGGTTTCCCCCGATCTTCTACCCGTCAGATACCGACATTTTACCAGACGCCTGAGCCTCATGGATTCAATGCGTGGCTTGTCAGCCGTAGGGCTCTCCAAAATCATTATTCCAGTACATTGTACATTCCTTCTGTGAGACAGTGTCACCGGTACCCCTCAAGTAGTCTGAGTATTATGGAAAGTAGCGACCTTGTCCATTGACTGTGACAACCACATGTCATTTGCAACTCCACCAGACTCTTGTTGCCTTGCTCTAGGTTGGATATCCTTAGAATTGGTGCGTTGGACCAAAGGACACGTGTTATACTCTTTTTCCAGGCGTTGCCTGGTGGCTGGTTGGTGGCTAAGAACAGATTTGCAGAGCACAGTTGGTACTCAGTGCAAGACCGCATCACTATGTTGATTCCGTTGAATCGGTGGGGTACTGGGGGTACTCGGGTTATTCGGTACACCGATTCTTTGAGGTTGGATTTGGAGGACCTCTTCTTGACAGTGCATCTCTTGTTGAGGTGTCCTCACATGAGTGGAAGCATTCAGGAATACCGCTGAACAGGAATATCATGTGTTCTTATGTTTTTTTTGTAGAATGAACCGCTCCAGGTACCTCTCCGAGATGATGAACCTCGCAGGCGTCAAGCTCTCAGTGAGTTGGCCTTACACAGCTCAGATCGTTTGGCCGCTGTTCCAAACGATTCGCTCTTCCAGCATGCAACCCAAGCCCAAAGGTGCTCAAGCAAAGTTGCTGCTACATAGTTGTTTTATAGTAGCTATGTATATATACATATTTATATTGTATAGAGTAAAAAGGATTCGGATGATTATTTCAGAGTTTTACTCGAAAAGACGGGACACAAGCAAAGAAAATGATAAAAGAATGTAATCGGGCTGCCACCCGTTCTAGAAAACACGATGAAATATGTGGGAACATCCCACCTTTCATTGTTCCACTTTAAACATATCTTTTTTGGATTCAGAAATGGTTGTACCTTGTGATTGGCCTTTGACTTGGATGTTTCGTGAGTACATTGAGAACTATCTTGTACATACCTGGCTATCTCACAGAAACCCTCCGAAACATGACCACACCATCTATTTCCAGGCGAAAAAATCCACCACCTAGAGCAAGCCGGTGCTTATACCTGGCTATACATGGACATGGAATGGACAAACCCGATCCCATGTGCCTATACCTGCCCATCTCAAAGAAACCCTTTCGAAGCGAAAGAATCGACCACCGAAAGCCGGAATCGATGCAATCTCGCGAATGCTTGCTCTTTGGCACCTATCTGACGGCAGATATACTTATCAGATATGATCAGAATCACGATATTATATTCGGTTCACTTCAGTCTCCACTGTGCCACCCCATCTTAGGATTTGGTCAGGGAAGTGCCAGGAGCACGCACCATGTCGAGACGGCAAATTAGGCGAGGGTGTCACTCACGGCCCACGCCCGGTCGGCTACCAGTAAGGGAAGTTAGGGCCCGTCATTTCTACTGGTGAGCCCAAGGATTTCCAGCAAAAAGAATCCCATCTGGGCGTTTGCTTCGTTGTGTTTGTATTTAACTTCGGACATAAACCCCTGGAGACACACTGGATTCCTGGATTAACAACTTGGTGCTGCCGGTTCCCAATCACAAGTTGCCGTGGGCCAACACTGCAGAGTTGGCTTGCACCCTCCCACCGCCGCTGGTCCACGGTTGTTGGTTTGGATGTCAAGGATGTTCACATTGAGACGAAAATGATGTTGTACTCCTCGTTGCAATGCAGCGTTTTGCACCATCCATCCGCCACACACGAAGCTACTGCAAAAACGGTGGAACAATTTTATACCGTAATGTTATTCGGTTGTCTATCCAGACTCTTCCTATCCATCAGGAGTGGTGCGTTCATTAGCAGACATTAAGAGGCTAAAATGTGCTACTTGCAATTTGCAATTACGACTGTTTTTCATTCAGCACCCGGCTCGGTATTTTTACCGCAGGCATTTTGCAAAGAAGTGGGAAAATGCCATGACCAAGCCATGGCCATTCCACGAGTTGGCAGCACTGCAGATGCTTATGCAACGTACTACCACTGCAGGCACGCTTTCCAAAGCCCAAATTGAATTTGCCTGCACTCCTTGCCCCGTTTGTAGGCCTTTATGCACAGTGCAAAATTATGCAATTGTTGTTTTGTTGTATACGTGTGTGTGTGTGTGCCCCTTGTAGTCACAGGGATTCTTTTGAATTGTACACTGAGCTTTCTTCATTTAGAGCTGGGGGACACGGCACCAGATTGCAGACCGTGTCTAACAAAGCTATGCAATCTGGTGGGATATCCAGCTTGGCCAGCTGGACGTACCTGCAACAACTTTAAGATTTGTAAAGGGCTAATGCACTCGGCAGACAAGATCGTACGTCGTCCTCCTGTCGAGTTTGACTTCTGGCCTTTAACTAAAGGCGCGCAGCCCCCCCTCACCTGGCTTTTCAGGATGGCGAGTGGCACCGCTTTCAGTTCAGTGCACCCTGTTCTAAGTGTGTCTGGCCTCGGCCAGCCCGGGATGAGCCCGAAGAGTGCCTCCCGTGGACCCGTCGAACGGGGGCTTGTCCTTATCTCCCCTGCCCGGAGATGTACGTGCCCAGAGCGGGCGAAGTAGGCTTCGGCCAAAGTTATTTGCCAAGACTTGCTGAATGACTGAATTCCAAGATGGCTCATGCCTTCACGTGACCGCAGCGGTCAGAGCAGCCAGCCATTTTGGCAAGGCACAAGGTGACCATAGCGGTCAAAGCAAGTTTAGGGTTCATTAGAACCTGTTTCATGTCCTCCTGTCTTCACGTTTCGTCATCTCATCCTTTCCTTTGTTTGCGCGCACATCGGTCCTGGCCTTAGCATGTACGTGCACATCTACAACCCAGTTTTTAGGTCACCCAGGTCTCGACAATGAGGTGAGGCTCATCGGTTGTCCCTGTGCACTTGGTTTCTCTTTCATCGCAACCACGCACACTTTTGTCCTGTCTCGTCCTCCTTCTCATGTCTTCATCCTTTTTGTCTTTCCTGCGCGCACATTTGCACATTCGTCCTAGCCTTAATTTTTGCCTCCCCTCGGGGAGGCGTGTGTGTGTGTGCCCCTTGTAGTCACAGGGATTCTTTTGAATTGTACACTGAGCTTTCTTCAGTTAGAGCAGGGGGACACGGTACCAGATTGCAGACCGTGTCTAACAAAGCTATGCAGTCTGGTGGGATATCCAGCTTGGCCAGCTGGACGTACCTGCAACAATTTTAAGATTTGTAAAGGGCTAATGCACTCGGCAGACAAGAGCGTACGTCGTCCTCCTGTCGGCTCGTCGCATCGTGGAGTTTGACTTCTGGCCTTTAACTAAAGGCGCGCAGCCCCCCTCACCTGTTTTTTCAGGATTTGGTTTCTTAGGCTGGCGAGTGGCACCGCTTTCAGTTCAGTACACCCTATCCTAAGTGTGTGTGCGTGTGTGCTCCTCAAAGCTTTGTCCCAGATCTGATGTGAAGGTTGACGGAGGTCACCAGCCGCCACCTGAGCCAAAGTTTTCCCCGCCTTACTTCTGCGCAAGCATCCCTACGACGTGGTGGAAAGGAGGAGCTTCCGGCACCAATCACGCGGCGCTTGTCAGAAGAAAAGACACAAGAGCGACTTGCAAGTTGAATTGAGCTGTCATTTTCTTAGTTCCGAGATGTGTTTCCCACATGTTGCATCAAGTTTGTACTTCCATTGTGCACAGCAATGGGTGCTATTTCTTACCCTGAGATTGAGCCAAAAGACAACACAATTGATACTCGGTTCAATACATCTAGGCGAGAGTTTATCGTGCGAACGAAGTGAGATAAGGGGTTGTAGGGGCGGAGAGGCACAAAGGGCAACGAGCGGGCCAAATAGCATGGGAAAACCGGGTGGGGGAGAGTGAGAGAACCGCAACAGAAAACTGTTTACGGAAAGATCAGAGATAGAGGGATGAAGTAGACGTGGAAAGATGGATGTGTGTAGAGTTTGGATAGGTCATGGATGGCTAGTTGAAGGAATGGGTGGTTGGTTGGTTGAATGGATGAATGGATGGATGGACAGAAAGAGGAAGCTGTGTCCGATAGATGGTGAGAGAGAGATATTTCGAGAGATTGGGAGATAGACAGAGAGATAGAGAAGTTACTATAAGAAGGATGGGTGGGTGGGTGGATGGACGGACGGACGGATGGACGGACGGACGGATGGATGGATGGATAGAAGGGGAGAGAGTGTGAGAGAGGTTGCGCGACAGAAAGATCAGCTAAAAAGATAGAATATGAATGAATATGACATGTATATAGATGTTTGGGTCTGTCCTATTAACTTTAACAGTTGGTAATTCATTTATCATCATTTATCACTAGTTTAGAAAAAAAAAAATTGCTAACCAGCAGCATCCATCCACTGTTACTGGTAAAAGGAAAGCGCCAATGTAGATGTATGATGATGTATGTAGAGCGTGAGTAGGTGAATGAATCACTGTTTTGACGAAAAGGTGAGTGGATGAATCAAGAGGAGAGAGTGCCGGAGAGTAAATGTGGATACTTGGATGTGTGTAGAGCGCGCCCAAGGCCAATGGATGGCAAGTGTGGGATGAATGGGTGGGGGGACAGGTGGATGGATAAAGGCAGAGAGACATGGCGGGAGTAGCGAGATCGAGAGATGGAAAGCTTGAGAACATGTGGAAGCCACTCTAGAGACTCTAGAGGCGGCTTCTTGAGTTGTTTTATGTTTTTGGCGGGCCTGATAGCAAAATGAAAGAGTGCCTGTTTGGCGACATCAAGAGATGGAGAGCTACAGAATGGCGCTTGCTGGCTCTGGTTTTTAGCCTCCTTCCTTCTCAGGTCCCCTGTTCCAAGGAAAGATGTATACAAATCGTCATACTGGGCCCATGATCCTGTTAAGTTGCTGAGCAACAGCATATTCAAGAAGATCCCTTTTGCATCCTTTCCTTTGCCAGGTTCAGTAAGAAGAAGTTCTTGCACTCTTTCTCCACCGTGCAGGAAAACTCTGTGAACCATTGGCAGGGCAATGATGACAGCGGAAATATGCTAGCTTCAAAGCTCAAAGGCCGACTGATCAACAAGCTCGGGAAAGCAAGGGCCGCAAAGATGAAAGGAGATGCCAGTTTTGCACAGGGTGGTGGGTCAGCAGAAGGAATGTGCTCCTGAGAAGGATATGGACTAGAGATAAATAGAGAAAAGACTAGAGGGGTTTTGACCCACCACCAATCGTGCACCGCTTTGTGCAAGCATGTATATATATATATATACATGTTTTACACGTGTTTGTGGTGTGGTTCAAGGGATCTCTTGGCTGGTGGGTTTGGGAGGGTTTGCAAAAATGATATATATATATATATAGTGTGTATATATATAGTGTATATATATATATATACACCAGGCTGCCTTGGGGCACCACTTGCCGGACATTCACAAGAACCCTTTTGAGATCGAAGAGAGCACAAGTTCAGATGCTTTCACTGCGGAAAGAATGGTCAACGTTCTAAAGGACTCGCGATTCTTTAGAGACTTGGATGCTGCTGTCCTAGAAACCTTGCCACAGCACGCCAAATTCTTGAATGTGCCGAATGGCGGAGTCCTCTTTCGGCAAGGTGACCCGGCAAAAGGATGCTACATCATAGTGAGTGGCAAAGTGGGCTTCTACGCAGGTAGCACGAGCGGCACTCCACGCCAGCCAGCCACTGAGCCCAATGAACAGATTCCAGAAGCAGCCAGACGCATGAAGACGTTTGAAGGTGGGGCTGCTCTATGGGGGAGACTTTGGGGGCATTGTACTTTGCCTGCAAACCAAACACAAAATCTTGCTTTCATGGATGAGACTTTGCAGCCTTCTTGAATTGCAAACTTGCCCACCCACTTGTTGTAGTCACAGTGATCACCATGTTGTTCAGGTGCACCTGATACTGAATGCACCCGTAGACTCACTACCATTGTGTCAGCCGAATTGCCAGGCTTTAGCACCTTCTCGAAGGTCTCAGACTACGGCCAGTGCGTGAAAAAGAGCCATGGCAAAAGAGCCAGTCCGCCAGAAGACTTTCTTTCTCCAGGGATCATCCCCAAGGCACAATAGGTCAACGAATACATGACAATATCCCCCATTGTGCCTTTGGCAATGTCCAAGTTCAAAACAGGCTGAGTGATATGTACCAAACTTGCAATAGTTTGGTGATATGTACCAATGAACTTGTATCAACTTGCAATAGTTTGCGTGTTTTCTTTGTACCGGTCTTCCAAGGAGCGGCACAGGGGAAGTCTTCGGGGAGTTGGCGCTCATGGACGGCGGCTCTGCGCCTCGGAAGGCCACAGCGCGATGCCTCGACGAGTCTGAGCTCCTCTTCGTGTCAGGGGAAGGCTTCGAGGAAGTCAAGCGATATGCGACTCAGAAACAAAAAGTGGCTTCCAAACGGTCGCTTTGTTTACTGCAATGGATTTGGCAAATGATGCATGATGTCCATTGGAAATGTGTTGACTTTTCCAAGCTTCATTTGAGGTATATGTTGTGAGAGGCTAACATGCTCAGTCATTTTCTTGGATCTATGCAGGTATGAAAAGCTACCCATCCACAAGCTGTTTGTTGAGTGAGATTATGTATCCATTTAGATGATCCAGGTGTACTTGCAAAGTTGCATGTTGTATGTGTGACAACGTTGCGTTTGATATGCAGAATATGGTTACAGTGTTTTGCTCATGAGTGACTCTGCTCCACCCAAGTCTGTCTTTTTTGTTCCCCATCGTTGGTTTGCACACTCATATCCTTGCAACTGTAAGTTGGGGTTGATAAGGTTATGTCCAAATGCATATAAATATACTTTGTATTCTGATTTGTGCCCTTGCCTACAGCAGCTTTACTTGCGTTTCTTTCATGTTGCTAGATTGGCCCCTGTGCGCGGCCAGTACAAGCCCGGCATGTTATGTGAGTATGTGAGTATTGTATTACATCTTGCGGCCTTTCATTTTTTTCTTTCTGTTTCTTTCCCATTATGTGTGTCTTTGGACCTTTTGGTCTTTTCTTTCTTCACTGTTTGATGTCAAAAGAATGCGCAGCCAGTCTTTAAGACTTATTCCTTGGGCGGATAATATGGAGAATGGAACTACGTCGCACTTTCTCAGGCTGCATGGAGTTTCCTTGTAGAGGCTTTTCCGATGTGCACTTTTCCGCCACGTCCATATTCCATTTGCTTGCACAGAAATGCTTAGGTGAAAGAGCTTGAGCAGCAAAAGCGGGAATTTTTGGTCTCTTGCTTGCCTGGAATGAAGGAGGCCAAAAAGGCCGGGGGTCATAGCTCTGCAAATTGCTTTCACCAGGAGCGTCATGCTCAAGGAACATTGCTTTTGAAGCAAGGCACAGCGGAAGAACAAACCATTTATGTCATCGTAAGTGGCACAGTCGAGCTGGTGCGGACAAAGCGAGGAGATGCCAAAGACATTTTAGCCACCCTTGAAACTGGTGACATGTTTGGCAGTTTCGGCTCGTCCTTCAAGATGCCCTTCTCGGCGCGGGTAACGTCAAGAAACTGTGAAGTTCTTTCAGCCCGAGAACGTGACATCAAAATCTTGCCGGCAAAGGTTGTTGGGCAGATCATGGCACAACTCTCTGCAGATACAGCCGAGAGACTTCGCAGAAGCTGTGTCTTTCGCGGTATGGGTTGGCAAAAGCAACTGACCTTGAACCGCCGTTCCGACACCGATGCTGCTGCTGACCTGCTGGAGTTAAACTCACGAGACCTGAGGATGCATCTCTCTGCTCATTTGTGGCAGGCCAAGTAGGCATCATTTAGAGTGCGATACTTTGTGGTATCTTTCAACCTGAGCCATGTCTTTTCTCTGCAAGGGAAATTGATAATTTTTTGAACCAAAGCCTAGCAGACACGAGGTCACCAGGCCCACAAGCAGCAAGGCACTGTGTGCCAATCTTCGCAGAATCCACTTCCACGCTGCAAAGCAGCGATTGGGATTTAAGAACAGAGAGGCAGATAGCATCAGATGGCCCACAGGGCCAAAGAGGTGGAATTTTCATGGCACTTGTTGGATTCGAGGCTTTCAGTAGTTGTGATTCTATGATATTCTATAAGGATCAAAGTCAAAAGCACTTTCTCGGGCAAGTGGCCAGCCTCGAGCAATCCGGCGATGGTAATGACATTGCGAGCATTCCTCAAAGGATGCCATGGAATCGAGAGCAAAATGGGCCATCTACAGAGCCACAGAGTCCTTTTGCTGCTGAACTTAGATGAATGGGAAGGCAAGGCAAGGGAAGCGAAGGAAGGGTACACTGGAGTTGCTCTACGAATACCTACAAGTCTTCTAGTGGGCTTTCCTCGGGATGATTGCTTTAAACTTGAATAGGAACAAGAAGCTACTAGGGGCTCCTGGCCTTACTACTAGGCGCAAGGACGCTACTAGGGGCTCCTGGAATCGCTACTAGGAGCAAGGACGCAAATGTTGGCGAGTGCGACTGTCCGGCTTTGGCACAGGGATGCGCCCGTTGCTCCTAAAGTCTTCCTGGTGGTTCAAGGCACTGCAGACAAAGCGCTTGAAACTGAGACCTGGGACTGGACTTTGTCAAATCCAGGACTCACAGTGACTCACTGAAGCACAATGTTGGCAGCTCGCATGCTAGCAGAGATCTAGAATTGCAGTGGTGTTAAAGTGCTGAGAATAGGAGTGATAGTGAATCGTGGTTGCTTGGCCGAACTTCAGTGGTGATATGTAAGCAGACCATTGATTGGCCTCTGCCAGTTTACTTGTCACCTGCACCTTCCGGTTAGGAGTTGTGAACCACCCTGAGGCCATGGCTAGGCATTTCTGTGGTCGAGAAAGAGCCAGGCGAGTATTGAGCAGACCAGCTGACATGTGGAAAGCATGCTTGCCTATGTATGCTGCTGTCCTTTTGAGGTCTTCCTTCTGAGATCGCTGAGTATAATATGAGTGATAGACACGTGTATCCCCTTGGTCGAAGCATACCCCAGGCAGTGACGTTGTGCTTTTTCCGGTCCACGTCCACACCCTCCTTAACTGCAGGGGTGGGGTAGTGGCCCACCTGTTCGTCTAGTGTTACACCCGGATTGAACCCGTGTCTAACGCAAGAGGGATGCGTCGTAGCCTTGGATCAGGCAGCGATGGCACATCTGAAGGAGAGTCGCCATTGAGAAAGGCCTCCTTCATTTGCTGCAGCAAATAACCGTCTACTTGGCCCAGAGCGTCCTCACAAGTTGAAACGGTACCATTTCAAGGTTTGGGGGCAAGGGTGTTTGACCTTGCTTAACTCTATTTGAGGTCATTTCATAGCTTGTTTGGCCAAGCGGTAGTGCGCCCATTTCATGACATTAAACACCTGAGTATACCAAAGCTAGAAATCATCGGACTTTGGTCGCCGATGCAAGGCTTTGGCAATCCTGAACGAAGTCTTGATGGCCGGGACCTTAGCAGGAACAGAAGCTGCTGCTTCGAAAATTGAGGAACACCAAGCAGGACAAAAATACTACCAAAAGGCTACAATGTAAAGTGTTTTTAGATCATTGCACAAACTCAAGCAGAAGGACACTACGACAATGAGTTCATTGAAGATGAGAGTTCCCGAAGTGCCTAGCTCAGGACCAGGTGCAGGACTTGCTGTCAGATCTACATCGCGCGACCTATCGGGCCTTCATCCGTGTGGTGGCTGCGTGACCACCTTGGGTCCAAGATGACACTTCAGCACAACCAATGATCGCTGTTGGTGTGTGTGTGTGTGTGTTGGCCTCAACAGATATAACATACTCTAAAACTCTAAACATCTCTAAAGCGCACGCCGGCACCTCTTCCTATGTTTGAAGTAAGAACGCCAATAGCTCTCGCTATTTGGGGAAAGGACACCTCAGGGTTGATCAAAGGTCATGCAACGGATCCATCCTAATATTCTAGTATGCCTTTCCACTTTGTTCTCAGGTATGGGCGGTGGAAGAAGACTTGCAAAAGTGCCAGGGAGAAGCGACAGGCTTGCTGCATCTAATTGCAGTGATGCAATCTGGGACGTGTTGTGTTCTTGCAAGATCCAGGGTATAATGTGGCTCAGGCTGAGGAGCATGCAAAGAAGCTGGCGGAGAGAAAGGCTGGCATGTCAAGAAACAAGTTTTTCTGGCTCAAGCCACTCAATGCCCGCCTGTAGCATACAGAACTCATCCAGCATAGGACCCCACTTAGAGCATGATTGGTGTTGCTGCAGATGCGGTCTTCGCGCAACAGTGTCATGGGTGAGGAGTGGGCACCCAGAGGCAAGAACCAAGGAAGTGGGACCAGAAAGGTCACCGGAAGAACGAGCACTAGCAGTTCGAGTTTGTAAATACACCAGAACCAGACAAAGCCGATGTGTTTAAAAAAGATAAAATTGGACCGAAAACGGATTATATAGGGACAGTTAATCAGGGCAGTAGCTGTAGCTGATGTGCTCATTGATTAGGCCAGTGATTCTTGTTGCAGCTAAGGAAGTCGGCCAAAGCCACGAACTTGGCCAGAAATTCTGGGGCGGTGGGAAAAAGGCTTTGCATTGAACAAGGGATTTGGGAACCGTTAAAGATGCGGAAATTTCACTCAAATCATAGCGGCGGGGTGTTGAAAGGGTCCTTAGTTTGTCTGTTGAGAGGTAAACGGCGGACTTGCTTGTTTGGTTCTCATGGGCACCCTCCGCAACCTATAATTTTAAGTTTGCAGTGGCACTTTCTCAGGTCTTTTGTTTGCTTTACATCCTTTCCTTGCGCGGTGTGAATTGAGAGTTTGCCACTTTACTCAAGATGTATCCATCAATCCTTGGCAAACCTATTTTGAGGTGCTGCTTCAACCCAAGGGCACTGCCGTCAGTACTCGCTGATGTTCTCATGGGAATTGACATGACTGTTGCTTTCTAATGCTAGAAAACTTTGGAGAGAACCTGCTTTGCCTGGCCTTGCGGGGTTGCTTCAGCTCAAACAAGAACTTGCATGCACATCGTTTAAACAACTCAGGCGGGAAGGCCATGACAATGCGGAGCCAACCGAGCCGGTTTCCAAGTATCTTGAAGAGACCAGAATGTGCGTCGTGGTGCACTTCCTAGTAGCTTCTTGTTACTACTAGTAAGGCACTTGTTACTAGAAGCGATGCACTTGTTCCTAGTAGCTTCTTGTTACTACTAGT